CTATTTTTAGATTCTGTTGTTGCTCTTCTTTTTTGGTTTAAATTTACTGGAAATCTAAATGGCATTCCTTAAATGACCAGAACTCAAAGCCACCTGAAGACTGAGCTGGGAAGAGCCCTGAAGATGGAAGAACTGGGGGGAAGGGGACAGAGGGCTGGATGGGGGGATGTGGATGGACATACCTGGCAGTGTCCTGCCCCTCACAAACTGTTTCCTTAGCCCCAGACTGTGATCACTCTGTTCTGTCTGGAACCCTGGGGCTCACTCTGCCTGTTTCCTTCTTTTGACCATGTGCACTCTGGGCATTTTCTTGTTTTCTGGCACATGGGAAACCTGGGGATCTCAGGTTGCTTGGGCAGGCCCCCTGAGGGAGTGTCAAGCAGGAGGTATAGGGCCCTTAGAGAGTGTTCTGGAAGCCAAGCTGATGATCCTGGGCAAGATGGCAGGACAGTTGGAGGGCATATCTAAGTCAGCCTGGGCAACAAGCACAGGACAGACATGCTGGGGAATCAGATAGGAAAGAATAAATTGCTCCATAAACAATGCTGGAAAAGCCAGCTGTGCGTCTGGAGGTGAGGGGTCACAGGAAGGAAGAAGGAAGAGGTTGACTGTGAGGTCAGAGGGAGGGAGCTCAGGAGGAGTATCGTGTGTCCTGGAGAGAGTTGATGGCTTCTGCTCACCAGCTGTGTCACCTTCAGCTCCACAGAGAAGGGCTAACCACTGCTGATGTTCTCCAATTGTTGAAAGGAGTGCTTCCAGAAACTTGGGGCTTTGGCCCTACGGAATCTGGCCCATTTCAGTGAGCAGTCACTGATATCTTTCTATGCAACCTATATGGGGCGCTCTGTGCCAGCAACACAACAGTGGGCATGACAGAAGTCCTGCCTCTCCCAGAAGACAGGTCCCCGAAAAACTGGGACCTTGTCACCGTAGCTGAATCAATGAACACAATGACAAGGGATTGAAGAAAAGAAAGAGTAATTTTTTTTAATTTGCTGGCAAATGAGGATGCAGTAGGCTAGTGCCACAAAACCCATAGTCCTCCCAAAGCAGTAACAGTTAGGGTTTTTAAGAGGAAATCTATGAGAAAGATTGTGCATCTACGTGACTGCACCTATTTGGTGGGGCAATTGTGTGAAGGTCTCAGACATTCTGGCACCAGGCCAGCTGTTATCTCTATCTACAGCAGGAGGTCCAGCATGCCAAGGATCAATCTTCCCACACCACCAGAAATTGGGCCCTGGGGAGAGGAAGGAAACTGCCACCAATTAACAATTACAACGTTTACAAGTTTTAGATGGGGGAAGGGGAGTTGTGGCTTTGTAGGTTGGCGCCCTCCCACCAGCCTGTGTTTGGCCGAGATAAGGTAATCTGCAGGTGGGTGTCCTTGGTTGTCTGCCTCTGTGATGAATGGTGGATTTGGGCACCAGGAAGCCAAGGACTTGGGGTCTAGGAAACTTCATCTTCTTGATATTCTCTGGATATCAGTTTCCCTGTAACAAAACTTCAAAGGACCCATAATTAGCCAAACTTCAGTGTGAGCCCCAGCATGAGGCCACCTGGGCTTTAATAATTTGTAAATTCTGTTTGTCTTGTGAATTTAGAGATACAAAGCTTAAAAAACTGATATTTTCATGTGAATGTAACTTGGAGGAGCCCAGAAAAGGGAATGAGTGCTCTTGGTTTTAACCCCATATATGCTGGGTTCAATGTAGGGGAACTGATATCAGGGCCAGCAACAAGGAAGAAGTTACAGGACTTTTTTTAGTTTTTCCTCTGTTACAGACAGACAGGTCAACAAGTGCCCATAACTCAGCTTAGTGAGACAGAGTTCTTCCACAGGGAGTCAAGACAGCTTTACAAAAGAGGTAATGTTCTTCCCGGGCACTGAAAGATGAATAGGAGATGCCTGGAGAAAGGGCATCTCAGAACCCGGATGGAGGCATGGCCAGGCAGAGGGCTGTGACAGGGACTGCAGGCTCCCAGCCAAGCACTCCACACCTTCTGGATTTAGCTGGGCCTGTGCAATGTCTGTGCCCATGTCTTTGGGGTTCTGACAGGCTAGGGCCCACATTCACTCTTCTTTCTTTGGCTCGTGTCTTGATATGCCAGTAGTTCTCAGTCTGGGAAGGGAGACCACCCCAGGCTACTAAGGACTCAGCATAGTATAGACACACTTACAGGGGCCAGCTGTGTCCATGCACTCATGGTCCCAGGTCTGGGTGTGGCCATCCCCTGTTCCCTCCTCAGCTGCACAGTGAGGATAGACGCAGTGCTCAGGGGTCTGAATCGTCCCTCGTGTCAGAGCAGTGTGGACGTTTTCTTGGAACGCGTGTGGGTCTTGCCTTCAGGATGGGCAGGCCTGATGTTTGCAGGCCAGATCCATGGTGTTCAGGTCCCTCTGACGGCAAAGCGTGAGTGGTCTCTGCGGGCACTTCCTGGACTCTGTGGGGACACTCGCAATCTATCCAGGGGTGCCAGGAGTCTACTTCACACAGGTTGCCATAGCCTGTTCCCCCCAAGACTCATGAAGACATTCCTATGATGGGATCTGCCATCACACCCCCAAGGGTGCACAATCCTTCTCAAGCTAAAACACCATATTACTTAAGCTTCAGTTGCAGTTTTAGTGAACTTAAAGCCATCTGAGAAAAGACATGACTTTTTTTTTTTTTTTTTGGTTAAAACACTTGTAGTCAGTCAAGCATGCTGGACACACAAAAGCTGTAACACCCAATGTCTACAACTTAAAGAGTTTGGAGATTAATATACACCATCACCACAATCAAGACCATAAACTTATCACCACCTCCAAAAGTATGCTCCTCCTTTTCATTTTTTTAATTTAATTTTTCTTTTTGTAATAAAAGCACATAATAGCTACACAACACAGTATTGTAAGTTAGAGGCCCTATGTTGTACAGCAGATCTCCAGAAATTATTCATCTTGCATAACTGAAATTTTGAAACTTTTCACCAACATCTCCCCATTTCCCCTCCCCCCAGTCCTGGTAACCACCATTCTACTCTCCGTTTCTGCGAGTTTGACTATTTTGGATTCCTCATAAAAGTGGATTCATGCAGTATTTGTCTTTATTTCATTTACTATAATGTCCTCCAGGTCCATCCACATTGGCACAAATTTCCTTCTTTTTTAAGGTTGATTAATATCACATAAGATACAACCTCTTTGGGTGGAGTTTTGTTGCACATCTGGCTGCCTCTCACATGTGATCATATCGAGTTGCTTATTCATTGCAAATAACGCATCTCAACCTGACATTGTCCTGCCAGGACGGAGTTGTTGTCTAGTAGGAGATGATGGAAGAGTGACCATGGAACCTGCCTAAAAACAAAAATCACAAAGACGCACGTCAGATAAGACACAGGATGCTGACTGGCCGGAAAGAGAAAGAACCAGATCTCCAGGGAGAGTGTTAACAGGGAGCACACAGCAGGATCTCCTGAATGAGGGTAACCCTAGGAGTGGAGACTTGGGGTGGGATAGAGAGCTCCCACTCCTGGGAAGTCACCAGCTATCAGTGAATCTGAGCAGGGAGGACAGGCTGTCAGGGTCAGAGCAGCCTTCTCTCAGTCCATAGGCACCATCTGGTCACTGATGCCTAGGTTCTGGAAACCCTCCTTTTTCTTTGTCTCTAGGCATGGTGTTCTAACCTTTCCCTGATCCAGTGCATCCCCCAGAAACCGGTCTCAAGCCCCCACCCCCATGCCCTTACAATTGAGGGACTTCTCATTGTGATTTGGCTGCATCCACCCCCAGTGACTCACTCTGAACTGTGCAACTCCAAGTGTGGTCCAGAGACCAGACACATCACCGTCCCCTGCTTGCTGGTTAAGATGCAAACTCTGCAGCCCTGCCCAGAACTACTGGGTCAGAAGCCTGGGACATGGGTATCTACAGGCCTTCAGGGGATTGTGGTCCCCTCTGAAGTTCACAAGTGGCTGCAGAAACATGGTGAAGGCCTATATCACCAGCACAGAGCTGAGGTCTTGTTTGGAAAGAGTGTGTTTTTTAGTCCTTCCAGACGTCCATTTGCTGCTTCAGCTGAAGGCTGTGAAGGTCTCTTTTCTGGAAACACACCCTGCACCCTGGAAATTGTGCCCACAGACCTGTGATGACTGTGGCCACAAGAGGGCACCAATGGTCACCTAATGGACACAGCTCAGCCATCTCTGGAGCTCATTGGTTTAGTCTCCCTCTCTTTCTGTTCTCTTTCACTCCTATCCCCCTCCTCTAAAGAAAAAGTCCTACAGAAGGGAAACTAGAGCCCAGTGTGTGACAATGGCCCCCTCCTGTAAACACAGGCAGGCCCCCAGGCTGAGCACACGACAGCACATCCAGGAGCTGAGAAGTTATGCAAAGGGAGATGCAGCGAGCTCAGCTGGAAGCTCCTGGTTCAGAGACCCTCCAACTCCTCTAGCCCAGCATCAGCCCCAGGACACAGTGAGCCTTGTCTGTTCCAGAACTCAAGGTGGGCTGGGGAGAAAAATTGGACAAGGAAACATCTGGACCTGCCAAGACCTCAGGCCTCTTCTGCTCCTTTCTTGGGAAGAATATGCATCTTGTCTGGGCAGGTTGTCTTCTACCACCCACAGAGGTGGCTCTGGGCAACTCATCCTTTTTGGCTCCGTCTCTCTTCGTCTCACTGGCCCCCACCCTACTGGAGTGTCTGGGGATCACCCTCCCCTTATCCCTCCTGCACTGTGTCCTCACTTCAGCACCCAGATTCTGGGGCATCCAGATAAAGTCTCCACTCCCCGTTGAGGTGCTAAGGGAGTGCTTCTGGCTGGGATTCAGCTACAGGAGACCCCCTGCCATCACTGGTCATTCCCACACCACCCTGCTTGGGGTGTGTCCCTCTCTCGTGGACAGGAGACAATTTAACATCTTTGGTGGGAGGAGGCACAGTCATATGTGGGAAGGGACAGGGTGTAATAGCAGAGAGGAGGCCCAGAGGGAAGCATTTGTCCTGGAGCAGATGAGTTGGACCAACGCCAGGGAGGCTCTGATGGGAGCCTGAGCTGGGAAGAATGAAGGCCATGGGTACCTGTGTTCCCACAGACTGGCCTCACCAGCAGTGGAGGTGGGCTCTGCCCTGGGCCATGCTGCTGCTGCTCTTAGGTTCCCAGCTCCTGGTGACTCACTGCCAGAGTTCCCAAGAGAAAAGGGACAGTGATGACCGAAAAGTCATGGAAAGTTACTTCCCTGCTACCGTGGAGTATGCCTTACACATATTCAACATGCAGAGCAAAGACGTGAATGCCTACAGGCTGGTGCGCATCTTGAATTCCTGGAAGGAGCAGGTAGGTACCACATCTTTCTCCCCTGCTGCCCTGTACTTGCTATTAAGTGAGGGTCAGGGGTGGGAGTCTTATCAAGGGATCTTGTTCACCATTTGAAGTTCAAAAAATACAGGGAAAATACTACCTACTCAGTTACTTTCAGTTTTTATAAAAGAAGTAACTTGGAAATGTAAAAAAACCTTAGTCAATGTCTATTCACAAGTATGATACATTTTCAGTCTTTATGACATTGTTTAACTGAAGAATGACTTCAAAATATGGACTATGAGGGCATGAAGGTATCCAGTAAGGAAAAAATCCAGACAGAAAATGTCAGAGGGGATAGATTGAGAAAATATTTCAAGGAAATAAAAAGACATAATTAGAAAAAGAGAGAGAAACAGAAAGAGAGAGAAGGAGAAAGTGGGAGAGACGGAGGGAGAGCGGATTGAGGATCAGGAGCAGGGGACTCTCCCTCAGCCTGAGGTCCCGCTGTGAGGTCAGGGCCTCTTCTCTGACGTCCATGTGCTCTGGGCTCCGTCTTGTGATCTCCATCTGCAAGAATTGATGTGATTTTACACTCGGCCCCAGACCATGGTTCTTCATCCTAAAATGTTCTCCTTGCAATGGAATCTCGACAAATGCAAACAGGAATGCCATTTTCATCTGGGCTGCAAACATGAACAATGAAAACACTTCATAAAGGAGCACTCTGTGTGTGTGTGTGTGTGTGTGTGTGTGTGTGTGTGTGTGTGTGAGTGAGTGTGTGTTGGGGACTGTTAGGGGCATCACTCTCTCTCTCTGGACCTTTGGGCCGAGAGCCTGAAAGAAGGGCGAGGGATCTCCACCCTGCCCCGAGTTAAGCCTCTGTGAACACTGGTGTGCAGCATCCCAGTTGGTTCAGCTGCCCTGAGCTCTCTCAGGCTGGACCTCGGCTCCGGGTTTTCTAGATCTGGAGTCATAGACTGAGTTGCTGTGTTGGGAATAACGGAGGGGATAGGGTGGGAGCACATGGACAGGATGAAGTAGCATGGAGTGGAGAAGGGCACAGAAGATTTCAGAGTGCACTTTGCAATAGAAGAAGAGGTTTATTGAAGCCATTGTCCCAATTGTGTGTGTGTGAGTGTGCATGTGTGTGTTCCAGTAGTACTGTATGGCATTTTTCTGCTGTAGCACAGGTGAAAGGTGCAACAAGGGGGCTGTAGATGAGTCTCCCTCCCTCTGGGCTGAGATTACTCAGCAAACTCTTGCAGAGCCAACACCCTCCCAGGCTCTTGGCACCTGTCCCTTGGGAATGCTGTTGTAGCTTCAGAAGCAACAGGAAAGTGAAGGTGGGGCCTCACCAAGGGCACCTGGGGACGTGGGGCTGCAGGTGTGCGATATTAATGGTGTGTGAGTCAGCCTGTGTCTACCCTGGGGCCTCCATGGGGCCCACAGGCCTCTTTGCTCTGAACATCTCAAGCTTCCCTTTACTCCAGGGAGCTGACTCAGGCCCAGAGGCAAGCTCCCAAAGGGAGTTTTGGCCTCTCTCTACACTGCATGGACCTACACTAGCAGCCTCTTAGGGGACCAAGATGAGTATTTCCACATTAATGTCTCTACATACCACAGGCGGAGACCATGATGGTTTTCTCCATGGAGCTGGAGCTTCGCAGAACCAGGTGTGGGAAATTTGACGAAGATATTGACAACTGCCCCTTTGAAGAAAGCTCAGAGCTGAATAATGTAAGACACATCTACTTCCCTCAGGTTACACAGCTGTGGCCTCTGGATGGTGGTGCAGTGGGGGGGTGAAGCAGATGACAATGCCATTCCTGGGGACACAGAGGAGTGAGGCAGCTGCACTCCCTCTTCCCCCACTGCTTGTGCTGCAGTAGGGATCCTAGCCAGGGAGGCAAGCCCCGGGGTCCATTCCTAGGCCACTGGCCATTCTGAGATCCCGACTCTGTTCACTCATCCTGTTCTAGCTGCCTGTACCCTGGGCCACACTGATGTCAGATTGGTCCTGCCCACTTGGGTTCGGGTCTCCTGGGCCCAAGGACAGATGTCCCCTCTCTGGTCATCGTCCACCTCCCTTCCCTGCTTTTAGGAGAAGGAGCATGTCAGGGGTGGCCTTTGCCTGAGTGGGCAGTTTTCAGGTCCCCATGACAGTGACCAGAGCCCCAGGGGGTGGAGGTTGAGGAAGGGTCCTGCTGTCCTCCTTCCAAGGCTTCACCTTAGGCCCTGCTGAACTACAATTCTTGCTGCAGGGAATAAGGGAATACAAACACCAGCTCTGGCACTAGCCCACCTAGGGTCAGGGGCCCCTCTGAAATAACGCCTGCTGGGAGGGAGCATCCGACTGCTGTTCTTGGACAATGGATCACACTGGGACAGCCTGGGGGTTCCCCTGGAGACCACAGGCATGGGGAGGGGAGAATGACACAGGTGCCCTGGTGTCAGGAGAGATCCAGATCAGGATCATCCAGGACTCAGGCTGGGGCTGCACCTGACGGCCAGAGCTTGCATCCCCCAGTTGCTCACCTGGGAATACAAGGTTGGGACGGATGCCGCCTAGAGCTGGAGCCACAAGCTTGCCAAGGCTCCTGCACCCACACCCCATTCCTGTGTTCATCCCCTCAGACCCTCATCTGCTTCTTCACCGTGGACACCGAGCCCTGGAGAACAACCTTCCATCTCCTGAATGAGACCTGTACGGAGGGGTTCCAGTAAGTGAGACCACACCCTCTCCCGTCCTAGGGTTGTCCTCCTTCTGGATGCCAGCGATTCCCAGTAGATGGCCCTTCAGTGGTTGAGCAGACTGGGTTCTGTTCTCTTTATTTTCAGGTGTCTAGGGTCTCACATCCCAGCAATGTGGAAACTCCTCTTTGTCCATTTTCATCATGTAGAGTAGATCATTAAACATCAGCATTTCAAGAGGCTTAGTGTAGCATCTTCTCCAGGGAGGGAGCCAGGCAGTTGATGGAGTTCTCCCAGCAGGGCAGCCTGGTGGGCCCAGGGCGAGTGGGTCCTGTTTCCTTCTCAGACCTCCTGGGCTAGCTCCAGGTGGCACAACCTGGAAGCACAGGTGCTTCTGAGCTGCTGTCTCAGGGCTCATGAGGGATGACCTACAACCCTAGAGGTGCAATGAGCATGGCCTGGCAGGGAACCCAAAGTTCAGGATGGACCCAAACAGGGCCTCAGGCCCCTCAGGACATATGTGGCCCCTGTCTTGGGGACATGCTCACACACATTCTCTGGTCCACGACAGGTGGGAAGATGTAGGAGGAACTTGTAGCCTCCATTCAAAGAGTGGTCCAGCCCCCGGCAGCAGCAGCAGCATCTCCTGGAGCCTCTTGGAATTGTACAGTCTTGGGGCCGCCTGACCTTTGGACAAGGGACTGCAAATTTTCACACACTCCCAGGGGATTCATGGGCAATTACATTTGTGAGGTGTTGTTGTGCAGATGCTATTGAGACTGCTCAAATCTCCTAGAACGGGATTCAGCAACTTCTTTTCTAAAGAGGTGGAGGGTAACTCTTTGGCCTTTGTGGGCCATGTGGTCTCCGTCTCAACTCCCCAGTGTTGCCTTGTGTCTGGAAAGCCCCATAGACAGTATGAACACAAACAGGAGTGGTAGTGTTCCAACAAGACTTTATTTACACACATAGGCAGGGACAGGATTTGGTCCTGGGGCCCTCATTGACCCCTCCCCCATTAGGCGCCCCTTTAGTGCCCCTGCAGCAGGGGGACCCAGGACCAGCAGAGACTGCTCCACCGCAAGATCCCCATCTCCCCCAGCTCTTCTCAGGGTTTTCTCTGTGCAAATGGAGCTCCATCAGCAGAGCAGGGTCCATCTGCAGAGGGAGGGGTAAAGCCTGAGGACAACACTCCATCCCTGCGGAGGGCGGCAGGGGTTGGGCGACTGCCCAGCGTCCCAGACCTAAGAAGGCCAGTCAGAGGCAAGTTCCACGTGGTTCTCACACTTCCCAGCAGGAGAAAACCCGTGGCCGCAGGGTAACCCGTTATAACGCCACATTGACTTTCTGCCTTCTCTGCCTCCCTTTCCCACTGTGTGTCCTGCCATCATCTCCCAAACAAACCACCTCTACCCACACCTGCGTTGCAGGGTCTCCCTGGGGGAATCAGACCAGACATGTGGTGTTAGACATCTTCTGGACGCGTCCTCCATACAGACCTGGATGGGCTTCCCAGGAACGTGTGACTCCAGGCAACGCCGAGGGGAGAGCCCGCTGTGGGCATCCTCTCTGCTGGCCGAGCATCGCTCAGCGTGAGCACAGCTGTGTTGTTGTCCTAGGGCCCTGCCTGCCTGGTCCCAGATTTGAATAGATCTTTCTGGAAGACCCTCCCACCACCCTCCTGTCTTCCCCCACCCCTGGTCTTTCCAGAGACATGGTTCATTCAACAGAAGGAAGCTTAGAGGGCGCCATTTACCCACTGTGATTCCTTCTCCTGTTTTCCTAGGAGTCAACCCCACTCACTCCACTCAGGTGTCATATTTAGGCAGCTCCCAGGAGAGGGTCTCCTGTATGGTCAGCCCACCAGGGAAGACCTGGCCCTGGACCCTTTGCGAGCACACCCCACCTCTTGGGGCTGGGGACGGAGCCCATGACAGAGGTATCAAGGCATGGCCCCTGGCAGGGACACACTGATTCCTGCCTCACTCAGATCCCACATGTGGGCTTTGTCTGTGGTTCTTCCCTTCCAGAGGGCATCTACAGGACATGGGGATTTGTCCCGCTCCCCACTGTCTCTCCAGCTCCGTGAGGGTGAGGACTTATGCCAGGTGCTCAGTCTTGTGAAGAACAGGTATAGGGTTGAGGGACCTGTTCCCATGGGAAGACCCATCCTCCCCTGCGCTACCCATCTCTGCCAGGCTCTGGGGTGATCCAGGCCACTTCTCCTCTTATGGAATCTGTGCATTGAAGTATCAGGGAAGTGAGTTTCTGGAAATTCAGTGTGGCCCTGAGGTGTCCCTGGTATCACTCTGCCAAAGGCAGAAGCAGGAGGTGGCTGTGAACACGCAGGCAGAGGCATCACTGGGCCCCAAACCCCAGGAAAGGAGAGGGGCTCAGCCTGCGGCTCAGTTTCACGAGCTCCCTGTCTCCAGAAATGTGAGCCTCATTGTGACTCTGCGTCCTCCCAGCTGCTCACCTGTCAGCCTCAGTCACCAGGTCATCAAGGCCTGCAGCTGCAATCAAGTGGGGCAGAGGAAGAAATAGCTGCTTCATTTATCAAATGCTCTGTGTACATATCCCGTGTTCTGCTCTCTGGCCACTTCCCCATCTGCCAAGGGCACAGTGGACACTCTCCTCAGCTTTCCCAGGGTGTCAGGGTCAGGGCCCAGCCCTGCGGCTCAATAAATATAGGACTGAACACAAAGTAACAAGAAAGTGGAGAACTTTGAGAGGCCTTTGCAGACGCCCAGGCCTCTCTCATGAGGGCCAGAGGAAGGAGACAGAGGGAGCTGGGGCCTGGGGTGGAGGAGAAGGTCTGTCAGGGGATGTACACAGGGACACACCCCAGCTGTCTGTGGTCCTTGCCCTGGTGTTCCTCAGCACGACTCCCCCACATTCCAAATCTCCATTTCAGTTCCTAATGCTCCGACGCCCCTCGGGTCCCAGTACCTCCCACGGGATTTGGACTCTGGTTTCTCCCTGGCCCCAGGCTAGCCTGGGAAAGGAACATGCCCTGCTCACAAGGTGCATTTTTGACTCCTCCTTTTTTTTTTCAAAATTCTTCATGACCTAAGGGGGAAAAAGAAGTCTTGGTGGCAAAGCCAACACTTCTGTCATCCCTGTGTCATCTAAGCAGCATGTCTCTGCAGAGGAGGGTTGGGGGCAGGATGAAACTTCTCATGGGCTGCTGGCCACCAGATGGCCAAGGCTATAGGCTTCAATTTAATGAGCCTTCGAACATTGGAAGAGAATGAGCCAACACCAAAGGTGTCTCAGAGTCCAGATGCCCACACATTTCAGTTCCCTCCATGCTCCCATAAAATTCGCCAACTGTGGGCAAATAAAAACTCAAAAACCTCATTAGTCAATAGCACTGTCTTGACCCTGATTGTTCATCCTGACTGACTCAGGCCTCAGAAGGGCCCAGGCAGTTTTGAAGAGTTGAACTTGATCCAGTGCACTGTTAATACTAATGGGCTGACCTTGGATGTGGGCAGGAAAGTCTAGTTGGCCCCCAATGCTTGCAACGGGTATTATGGGTAAGATGGAAACAACCAGCTCATCTGTCTGAACACCCCCAGTCCCTCCAGGTGCAGCCACACCGTCAGGACCCTGAGGAGGAAGCCCTTCTCCAAGGGCTGCTCGTGGGCCCGGGGCGTGGGCCAGCTGCAGCTCTGGAGGAGGAGAGCCAGTGCCCCGGCAGCACAGGCTGCACAACCGCAGTAGCCAGGGCTGAAGGGCAGAGGTGGGTGGAGAGGTGCAGGCTGCAGGGGCTGCACTCCCAGGGGTGTAGGGGGGAAGCAACATGACAAGAACTGTCCTGCCCGTGTCCCCAGGACTCTGTGAGCACATAGAGCAGAGAGAGGCCAGGGCATGCCTTCCCCAGGACACAGCTGCTGGCTGCGGGGAGAGAAGAGTGGAGGAAGTGTGCCCTGCCGCCTGACCTTACCCAGGCAAGCCCCCGGGGTGGCCCCAGCCTGCCCCTCACAGTGGACCTGGCCTCCAGTATGAGGTTGTTTCCTCAGGAAGGTGACCTTGAGACAAAAATCCAAGTGCAAGTGGTTTATTTGGAAGTGATCCCAGAAAACACCAGAAGGGCAGGGGAAAAGTGGGAAGGGGAAGCAGCATATAATGGTGGCCAGACTAACAATGGGGGCACCGAGGGCTCCATCTCGCTGGGCACATCTCAGAGACTGGGGAGAACGCACCTCACTGTGATCTCCCAGGGGCTCAGAAAGCTGAGCTATTCATCCTCCAACTTCTGCCATTGGCTGAGGGCTCCTCCCAGTAGGCCCTGCCAGAGAAGAACTCTCAGGGAGGGTCTGCCTGTCAGCCAGGTGGCCTCTGTACTTCCCCATCTCTCACATGTCTCAGTTAGGACCTACTCCTGTGTTATTGTTGACATTTCCCTGCATGGCCTTGATCTGCACACCAGTGCTGTAGTTTTCACATCCAGGTCTCAGAAAGTGGCTCTTTCTGGTCATGTTAACCCCCTTCATCAACTCAGCCCTCCCCACACCCACACACTGTGGTAGCCAGCCTCCAAGATGGCCTCCGCTCATCCTCATCTCCTGGTCTTCACAGCCTTGTAGCAGTTCCTCCAACACCAAAGCAGAGCTAATCTGGGTGACCAATAACACAGGAAGAGGTGATGGTGTGTGACATCTGAAGCTAGCTCACAAAGGGCATTGTGCCTTTCATGTTGTTCTCTCAGAACACTCTGTCTGGAGGAAGCCAGCCACCACACCAAGGACACAGCAGCCCTGTGGAGAGGCCCACATGGAGGAGAACAGAGACCTCCCATCAACAGCCAACAACCACCTATAGCCATGAGTGTGAGTGCCTAGGAAGTGGATTTCCCAGAGTCAAACTACCCTTCAGATGAGAGCAGTGCAGTCAATGTCTGAGCATAACCCATGAGAAATGACACCTGAGCCTCCCAGCCAAGCCACGCCCAGATCCCTGACCCACAGACAGCATGAGAAACATAAATAAACTGCTTAAGCCACTAAGGGCAGGGTGGTTAGTCATGTAGCATTAGATAACCAGTACATCCTACTGTGCCCATGTGCATGCGCACACACACACACACACACACACACACACAAATGCAGCCTATTCTCCACGCTCCATCACTATTGCATTTTTTCTGCCTCAATTCAAAAGCAAAAGTACAACACAAATCTCCAAATGACCCAGCTCCAAGTGATTCCTGATGGATCTGGAGTTTAAAACAG